CACACACACACACACACACACACACACACACACACACACACACACACACAGCTCAGCATCGCCACTCTCACGACTTGTTAATCCACCAGTCGGATGCTCCACGGAGGAAGCGTTTAGTCCATCTGAGGCATCTGAAGGGAGGATTTGAGTAACAGCTCTAGTGAGAGGTGAGTCATTTTTTTTATCTGTTTTCTCATTTATTCTCTTCTGTGAGTGTCTGTCACTACAGCTCATCCTCATGCTTCTGGACTCAAAACCAATTTAACAAAACCTTTATTTTATTTTATTTTATTTTATTTTATTTTATTTTACAACATGAAGGCATGTCAGAAACTTTGCTGGTGCAGAGTGAATCATTAGTGTTGTCACTGACTCTTGATTTTGGAATGTTAACAGCATTTTTCTTCTTTTTKTCTACTCTTGTCTCATTACCTCTGGTTTGTCTTATTAACTACCAACAGCTTTGTCTGACTTTAAAACACATATTCGAGCTGTTGACATTTGTCTAGTATTGGAAATTCTTGGAAAGTCGGCTCCTAAACTCTCCATCCTAATGAGCTCCATMTCCTCTCGACGTGAGGGCTTGTGCGTAATAAGCTTTCATCTTCGGTCCAGTCAGAAATATTCAAACGGTGTTGGGCTTTTCATCCTGGTGGGAACTTTGCTGTCGATTTCTGCCTGTGGGGAAATAAAAGCATTAGTGACAGATTTTATTAGTTGCCACGTATTTTTGCAGCAGAATCGGTGGGATTCTTCGCAAAGCGCTGACAAAGCTTCAGTCAGACAGAGCCTTGACCTGCTCTGCTACATCCTACAGAAACACAAACAGCGCTGTCCAAATGCTGCACAATCGCACGGCATGCTGCCAGCTCTGCATCTGCTCCTGAACTTCCTCTATAGATCCCGTTTTATGGCAATTATGTGACTCAGCAAGTAGGTGGCCAAGAGATGCTGTAAGTTATTTGTATTTATCACAGAAACACCTCTCAGTTGCTGGCAGGTGAMCGAGACTGATTGGTTAATATAAACGATGGGATCTAACATCTACCTGTGTTATATGCATAAACCCTGCTTTTTCAGTCTAACTGTTGCCATTACAAGTGTGTGGCGGAAATATAATTGTTTCTGAAATATTTGAATCCCCACAAGAAGAAAAGCTGTGACAGCGACTACAAGCCTGTGTGACACACTGCGCTGCTGTTTTCCTGCTGACTCTAACCTCCCAAACAGCAGCTGGAAAAAAAAAAACACCTTCTGATGTTATGAATGGGTTTGAGCTTCATTGTTCAGTTTTTTTTATATCTGCAGAGATGAAGATTTATTTCATTAAGACTCAGTAGTGACTCAACAGTGACGAGTGGCTTCAGCGGAACACAGCTGGAAAACAGCTGCTTGTTACTCATCAGGTACAGAACCAGTTTTCACGCAGAGCTGGACAAAGTCCTCTTTGATTTGTTGCAGTTATGTGTTGTTCTGTGTTTATGAGTGGAAGTTTAGCATGAATACAGCTTTTCTTTTCACTGTCAAACATGATTATTAAAAAAAAGGTTTTCTTTAAACAATGCAATTATCAAAAGAATAAGATACAAGGATCTACAAATGTAAAACTAAAATAAGAGGAATCATATTTCTGCTGTGAACTCCTTAAATCTACATCATTTTAACTCTTTTTACTGATAGGCACGGCTGATGTGCCACTTTTCATTTTGGAAGCCTTATTCAGGGTTCCCATGGGTCCTTGAAATCCTTGAAAGTTTTTRAATTTGATAAAATGAGCTCAAGTCCCTGGGAAGTTTTTTAAAAGACACCCATCCTTGTAAGTCCTTGAATGTTTTTTTTTTTGGGGGGGGGGGGGGGGTTGCAATTAATGGATTAAAGTTGTCTGTCGCCAAAATGGATTTTGGTGACGCTCAACGTCCACACAGTTTAAAGCACTGTGAAGCTGCTGGAATGAGTGAGAGGAAAGCTGCATCGTTACCAGCGATAAGACGCTGATTCTGAACAAAAGTTGAATGTGTTGTAGCGCATATTTAGTCAATGACATGTACTCACAACAGTATATATTTGATCACTTTTATTTTTGACATTTTAGGGGAAACTGAGCTTCCCTTGCAGTCTTAGAGCAATCACCTCTGAATTTCAGATCTCTGGAATGGAAGTGTCATGAATCCAATTTTATGCTAAAATGGCTTGACATACGTGATGAACAGAGCTGCAGCCCTGCACATCTCTCTGTTGGATGTGAGAGACAAACAGGGACAAGAGTTTTATGATTTGTCACTGCTGAGGTATTAATAAGCACCACAGAGATGATTTGTTTTTGTTGACTGGGCTTTATGATATTGTTTTTTTCTGACCTCTGTTCTTGTGCCCATGTGCTTGTTCATGTGTTCACAGGTCCGTCCCGTTGTTGAGTGCAAGTAGACTTGCACTCAACTGCTCCTGCTTTACAGAAAGATCTGAAGGAAAATTAAATAAAGGAGAAACTTTTAGCTTTGATGACCTCTGACAAGTGTCTGAGTCAGAAACTGAAGTGGACATTAGGGTAAAAYTCCTCCGTGTTTTTATCATAATTTATACCACAAAGAAAAGTCGCTCGCACTGATGAACACCAGGAAAATTAAACAGGTGTGGGTGGAGCAGGTGAACAGTCCAGTCAGATTTCATGTCCTTCACCTCCCTTCGAAGTTTGATTGATGTCTTTTTTCTCAACTCAAACGTGAAAAGAAGAGAAGTTCAAACTTTATTTTCTCWTCTTCAAAGTGTCACGGTGTGAATTCTCACTACATCGGTTTGGTTGGTATTAGATGCTCAGCAGGGTGTAGCTTCAGGTGCTGCAGGAGGGCGGGACAAGCTGCACAGTCAGTGGCCTGATGGTGATGGTCCTGATGTTTCTGTCTGAACTGCTGCTTCACAAAGGCTGACTCGACTTTGCTAAAGTTTTAAATCCTGTGACATTTTAATCTCATTACACATCTAATWTGTTCTGCTTTTAACCTTTTTGGCATTAAAATATTTTTTGTTTAATGTGCAAACATGTCTTTAAATGTGCCTTTCAAACAAAATGAAGTCATAATATTTCCAGTGACCAGCAGGCCAATAAACCAAAAKGCTATCCTAAACACTGGTCAACTCCTGCTGCTGAAGAAATCATCTGAAGCCAGTTTGTTCTCCATAACACACTTACAAATTTAAATAAAAAGATCAGTCATGATGGAAATGGTTTAATTTTCCTAGTGTTTTATATCAGCTACTTTGTAAGTTRCATGATCCTCTGTTTGAATCTGCTGGGGGCAGAAAGAACTGCTTGATGAGCGTCAGACTTCATGCAGCCCCTTAACTCACATCATGACTTGAATAGTGATATCTGGGTTATTTTGGGTGGACCATTAAGAGGGAAAGAAAAAAAACTCGACCTGACGGTGTGTTTGTGAGCGAGTAGTCCTGGCAACCTTTGAAACATGCCTGTTTTGCCACCATCTGTGCCAATATCATTGGACTCAGTGGCRTCATGAGATGAGGTTCATGAGAAGAGGTGCAGATAAAGACCTTAGGGCAACATAATGTCGTGGCAGATCAGAGGGATCAAAGTGGGAGGAGCTCTRACAGCAGCAGCTCCCTGCTTCACAGTCAGCTACTCTGTCCTGACATTTACGTTACAGGAGTGCAACAAAGCCTATCAGCACATTTAAAATATGCAATTAAATACATGATGCTCTCAGTAACAGAACAAGTAAAAGGCCYGGCATTCTTTGAAGGGTTACATGCTGATCGTTCCCTGTCAGAGTTATATATAATGATGATGAGGTTCTCATTTGGTAAACACGTGACATTATGTCCAATCTCGTGATTTGGCAACAAGTCACTCCCTGATCATGTGTTGTAATTGATTCTGCTGCCATATTAAATTTGAGCTCTTTTAAATTGCTTTGATAAATTTACGACCCGCGCACYAGCTGCCCTGTGGCAGGAAAGGGGGTAAAAAAAATAGAGCAAAGTCATAAGCAGGACCAGACTCTGTTCCGCCGTCTACTTTGAAGAACTGTTCTGATCAGCTGTGTTCACAGACATCTTCAACACCTGACTGAAGACATCCCATGTTCTCTCTTACTATAAGAATCGTCACTGGCCTGAATTTATACAGCGCTTTATCAAGTCCAAGGACTCCAAAGCGCTTCCAACTTCAGTCATGGTGGTATGGTGATGGTGGTAAGCTACAGTGTAGCCACAGCTGCTCTGGGKCACATTGACAGAGTCAGAGGWGCCAYTGSGCCCACTGACCACCAGTAGACAAAGTGGTAAAGGGTCTCGCCAAAAAATAAAACGACTGATACAGACAAGACAAACCCCTAACCACTCTGCCACAGCTGCCCCTAGAACTCTAACACKGTCCCAATCCCCTTTAAGTTAAAACCAACTGAGTGTGTTTTCACACCTAACAGTTTGTCAGACTTGGTTTGATTTGGTGCAGTTTGTTTTCATACTGCATTGTGTGGAACAAGGCGAGCCCTGTTCATCTGTGGAGACGCTGCACCAGGACCCACTGAAGGAAACAACACGCAAACCTCTAAGGAAGACACTGAGTGCAACTTACTMCTTTGCAAAATGTAAATAATAATATCCTRATGCATCTCAGTAATCCAGGTAGAAAAAAATCAAAAAGAAAAAWAYAAGTAGGTCCTCTGGATGGGTTCTTCTTTAGTGAAACATTTAGTCTCTCCTCCAAGAGACTTCTTCAGTCTGATGAGTTTCAGGTGAACTCAGCCTTATAAGCACTGCCTCCACATGGTGGACAAACAGGTTTGTCACATGCAAAAGAGGACCATTGCCTAACTATAGGCTTGATTAGCTCTATTGTTCATAGAGGGTCAAGTGTCCCATCACCTGACTTATTGGTTTGGATGCTTTGGCTGTAGTTATTTGGTGTTTTGTTATGTGTATGTATTGGGTGCAAGCCCTGAGTTTGAGGGGGGAGCAGGCTTATGTGGGGCTCAGTGGGGCTAAAATCTTATCAGATCGAGCTGCTGGTTCAAAGGTTGATTCAGCGATACATGAAGCCTTGTGTTGCTGAGGCAGTAGCCGTGTTTCCATCAAGGTTTTTTAATGCGCATTTTGAAGAATCGCATCAGAAAAGGTGAATAGAAATGGCTTGATTTGAAAAAAACTT